GGCCCCGCACGGCTGCAGCCCCCCCCTCCCCGCTCCGGCTCGGGGCGCTGTCAGGGCCGGTGCCTCCCCGCCGCCTTCCCCCCTGTCCCGGCGAAGCGCCGGCGGGATGCGCGGTTCCCCCCCAGCTCCGGGAGGTTGTCCCCCTTCCCTCCCCGGCCGGAGCCGCCCCAGCGCCCGCCCTGCCTGCCTCAGTTTCCCCTCTCTCCCCGGGCGGAGGACGGGTATCGCTACCGGGGGGCACCGCGGAGGCCGAGGGGGATGCCGGCGGGGATGCCACTGTCGCGGGGGACGGTACCCAGGGGATAAGTGTCTTTGGGCTCCGCACCCCAGAGGTGCGTGCCGGGGCGGGGGACCCACCTGCATCCCTTGCCCGGCTCCATCGGTCCCCAAGGCGAGGCAGGTAAGAGGGGACCGCCTGCCTTCCAGAAGAAGACCCCCCAACACTCACCACCCCTGTCCGACTCCATCTCCCCCGGGTGGCTGGCAGCTCCCCTCCACCCAAATTTGTGCGCTGCAGGCAGCCAGGGGTTAACACTGGTGCTGGTGTGAGTGGGGGGGTCCCCCGCCCTTCCCCCTCCCTCCAGCCCCTTTAAATATAATTTGTTAACGTTGGGACTTGTATTAATTAAAGCAGCAGCCGCTGCAGCCTGTGACCTGGGGGCTTGTCACCGTGAAATCAACTTTAAATCCAGATTTCAAGGGGGAAGAGAGCTGGGGGGAGCGCTGTGTCCTCCTAGAGAGGGTGACAGTGACAGCTCCTTGCCGGTCCCTGCTCCCCTTGAGCCCTGGGTGGAGCAAGAGGCAGGAGGACCTGCCCTCCGCTCTCTGGGGTCCTAGAAGAGAGCCCCTGCCTCAGTTTCCCTGCCGTGCAATGGGGAGAAGGACCATAACAGCTTCCCCGGATTGCCTTGGGAGAAGGTGGCAGGCGCTGTGGCTGGCTCAGAACAGGCAGGGGACAAGGTCCCTGCAGTGCTTGGGGCAGGAGCTGTGGGGCTTGGGGTTGACAGCAGCTCTGGACCTACTTTTCCTCTCCTCTCAGCCAGGGCTTGCTTTGACGGTGTGAATGGGCGCAGGAGCTGGGCAGAGGATTTCCCCTTCTTTGTAGGGGCTTTGGAGGGATGCAGCCCTTTCCGCCCTCCTTCTCTCTGCTGCCCCCCATCCCAGCTCTCCCTGGTGGAGCCACCGTGGATTTGCATTGGGGCAGACCCACATATTACCCATGGAAGTGGTGGGATGGGTGAAAACACCCTTGGGAAGCTGGAGAAAGTGGCAGCCTGACCCTGACAGCTCCCCTTCCCCCCTGAGCAAGCTGTAATTCAGCAGGGACCCTGGGGCTGAGCTGTTCCTCTAGAGCTGGGTGAATTGGTCCCTGAGAGCTCCTTCTGTCCATGTACCTGCACCAGGCTGGCAGGATTTGTGGGAGCGGAGGGGGAGTAAACCTTTTTCCCAAGACCTGGGTGCTCCATGAGGCAGCTGCAATCCTTCCTCCAGCATCCTCCTCCAATGTCCTGGGAGCTCTTCCTTCTGTAATCAAGGTTCAAAAGGCTCCAGCTGCCTGCTCCTCCTGGGGACTCAGCTCTTGCCTGTCCCGGGGAAGAGGCAGCCCTGCCTGGGGAGAGCTCTCAGCAGGGACCGAGTTGTCCTGAGCAAGGAGTGGGGTGGTGCTGAGCTCCTGATGGACCCTGCTGCAAGCTTCAGGATGCTCCCGGGTGTCCTGCTGCCTACTGCTCGCTTTGCAGGTCCTCTTGGACACTTTGAATCCCAGGATCCTTCAAGCCATTCCCTGGAGCTGGGCAGACACTTCCTCCCCTTCTGTCTCCATCTCCGCATCCGTCTGTCCAGTGTACCACTGTCCTACCTCCGGGCACCTCTCTCAGGACATGCTTCATCTGTGTCCCCACACTCCGTCTACCTCCATGTTTCCCCAGGCAGCATCTCTACTTGTATAAGTACTTGCACCCCTGCTACAAACCTTGCGCCTCCCCTTGTCCCATCCATCTGCTGGTCTCTGTGCTTCTGCGTTGATGGGTCCCCCAGGATGTAACAGTGGATTTGGGATGGCTGCTGGGAGTTTGAGGGTGTTCAGCAGCGTGCTTGGCTCCGAATTTCCTAGCTGAGCTGTCAGGAAAAGGCTGGTCCCTCTGGTTACCTCCTTTGTGAGGACCAGCAGTGGCAGGGGGACATGGGAGATGGAAGGAGGTGATCAACCAGCAGCAGGGATGGAGCCGGACCTGGGGTGAACCTCCTGCTCCAGGGTCTCTGGAGTCTCTGCAGGGAAACCCACACTCTCTGGGGAAGGAGAGCTAGGGCAGTCTGTGCCCAAGGGTCTGCGCTGCATGGCTGGGGCAGAAGAGCCCTGGGGGAGCATGCAGGGGGGATCCAGCCCTGGGAGATGCTGGGCTGATGCTGGGCATGGGCTGCCAGGGTGTCCAGGCTGTGCTGACATGGCTGGAGAGGATGGCAGCCCCAGTGCCACTGGGGTATTTCTGCCTGGCTGAGCTTACCGTTGTGCCCAGGAGAACGGGGGAGAGGGGCAGTTCTGGCCCTGGGACACCCTACATGTGAAGCTGACCCTTTCCAGTACCCCTCATCTTTTCTCCTCCTTTCTAATCTCAAGCTGCCCTGGAGCGTCACCCTCGCAGGCAGTGGGCACGGTGTGGGGAGAGGATCATCTCCCCTCCACGTGTGTCCCCGAAGGGGAAGTGGGTGGTCTGCCCATTGCTTGCTCCGAGCTCACGGAGTTTGTTTCCCTTTCCCTCCCAGCTCCTGCTCCAATGAGATCCTGGGCCTGAAGCTGCCGTCGGAGCCGGTGCTGAATGCCAACACGGTGTGCCTGACCCTGCCGGGGCTGACGCGGCGGCAGCTGGAGGTGTGCGTGCGCCACCCCGACGTCACCGCCTCAGCCATCCAGGGCATCCAGATCGCCATCCACGAGTGCCAGCACCAGTTCCGGGACCAGCGCTGGAACTGCTCCAGCCTGGAGACCAAGAACAAGATCCCCTACGAGAGCATCATCTTCAGCAGAGGTAAGGGTTCGATAGCTTCCTTCCTCTTCCTCTCCCTCTCCCTCTGCCCAGTCCCTGCTTTCAGAAGCCCTCATGGGCTTCCTGTGGGCCCCTGCACAGCTCTTCCATGGCCCAGGGGACCAGGCCAGTTCTTCAGAATCCTCCTGGATGAAGGCAGACAGAGCCTAAGAAACCTCAGGCTCTGCCAGACCGAGCAGTGCTGTGCTGTGGCAAAACTGGGTTCTTCTTCTTCATGCACCTTTGTTACCTGTGCTGGCCCTTGTCCTGAGCTGCTCCTCCCTGCCCGGCCCCAGCTGCTCCTAAGGTTCCTTTCAGGCCCTGCTGTTCTCTAGCATCTTCCCTCCATGCAATGTAGGCTGGTGTTTGGAGCCATGCCGTGGGTGTACAGCACAGTTGGTGGGTCTGAAGGTGGACACTGCTCTGAGATTTGGTTTGGTGGTGTTTCAGTGCATCATGGTGAGCAGAAATGCCTCTAGCTAATGGGACGTAGCTTTGTGAGCCCATCACCCTGGTGTCCTGCCTTTCTGTTGGCTCCCCAGTGCAGAGACCTGAGGGGTCTCTGTTTTCTGGGACCCTGGAGCATGGTGACATGTGGGGACAGGGAGACAGGCTGTCCTGGGAGCTCGCTTGCCCACAGAACCCCCACCTGCGCTGCTGGGAGAGCAATCCTAGCCCTCCACAGTCTGCTGAGTCCTGGTGCCAGGGTCTCCTCGTCTTCCCCACAAGCTCTGCATCTATCAGAGCCTCCCTGGTTGATACTCAGGAGGTTCCCCCAGGAGCAGACTCTGAGAGTGCAGAGGGGCTGCTCAGCACAGCGCAGATCAGGGTTGTGATGCGATGGGACCTTCTGTAGGGCTTGAATGCATCTAAGTGCTCTTCTTGAAGCCTGGGCCTTGGCACACACCAAAGGTCCCCTTGCCCCAGGCTGTGGGCAGGAGAGAACTATGTGGTGCCAGTGGCAGGCAGGCAGGTGCAGAGGGCAGGCAGGGTGCCCAGCAAACACATCGCTCCTCCAGCTCCTGAGGAAAGAGGAAACTACCAAAGATGCTTCTCACCTGCCTGCCTTGGGAGCCTCCTAAGCCACCAGCAGAGAGGTGCCTCTGTCCCCCCTTTCCCAAACACCCTTCCACACATCTGTCTGGGACTGCGAGGACATCCTCTCACAGAGGAGAGGTTGGCAGCTTGAGGCTTACATGCCTTTGAAGGGATGCAGTGGTAGGAGCACCCAGGTGGGTGGGGACATGGCTGGAGAGGGGAGCACAGAAACATTTTGGTGCTGGGAGGTCCCTCAGGTCCAGGACAGACGGGCCAAGCCTTGCTGGAGGGGATGCTGCCTTGCAGCACATGTAGTAGCAGGGCCACACACCAGGTCCTGCCTTGGAGCAGCTGCCGGTACCTGGAGAAGGGCAGCGTCTCTTCCCTCCACGAGCAGCACCCAGGTTAGGGCCTGGCAGGGAGGGTGGGGACCGTCAGCCCTGATAAGCATCGTGGTATTTCCAGGTCCTCTGAGGAATGCAATTCACTTCTAGTCTCCTCAGGCGGCGGGAGACATCGACTTGCTGGCTCAAGTTGCTCACACACCCAGGCAAGCTTCCCTGCTGCAGGTCCCACCAGGCTGGGTGAGAAGCTCCAGCAGCAGAGCGCGTGTACCTTCTGCATCCCTCCTTCAGCCCACCAAGTCTGGTGGTGGCTGGTGACTCGCAGCTCACTTGTCTTAGGTGCCACCACAGTCCTTCCCACCGTCAGGGCCATGATTGATGAGTTTGGGGACTCCTGCAGCCCCTGGACTCTTGCCCCAGTCCTGAACTCTTGGGTATGGCTCAGCCCAGGCTCCCAGCACCGGTGGGATCCCATCCCCTGGGATGGAAACCCAGCACCAGGGAAGGATGGAGGTAGGGCTGGTCTAGCAGAGCAGATGGGCACCTCCCAGCTCTCTTCTTTTGGCAGCCAAGAGTGCAGGATGAGCCCCAAGCACCCAGGCCATCCCATGTGGTTGCTCAGAGCCACTGTGGCATGGAGCAAAGCCTTGGAGGCTGCTGCCCTGGCCTGCTTCCAGCCCACTTGTGTCCCTCTCTAACGGAGCTGGAGCTCTGAGCTCCACCCTGCAGATGTCACGGACACGGCCAGCAGAGCAGGGATGCTGGGTGCATCCCCAGCGCCGGAGGAGAGGCGAGTGGTGGAAGCGAGGGGTGCAGGCTCCGAGCCGCAGGCATTAATGCATCTCACCTCCGGGGACCAGGCCTCTGCTCTGCGCCCTGCCCCATCCTTGCTGTGCCTGGGAACGCAACGTGCTTGTAGGATCATCGTTTGTAACCCAAAGTGACAGACCCCTTTAATCTTTCATTCCTTTTCCCACTTCTTCTGCCATCAGTTCAGCCGTGCGTGAATCTCACTTTAAATTATTTGTAGCTGGTTTCTCCCTCTCGCTCCCCCAGCTCGGCTCCGCTCCCCACCTCCGCCCCGTCCTCCTGCATCTCCTGCATCTTTCCCAGCGCTGGTGCTTGCTGGTCGCCCATCCCATGTTCTGCCCAGCATCCAATTGCTTGGTGGAGCCGGAGGGCTTACACCTGGGTGACAGGTACCATCCTGCTGCTCTGATCCCAGAAGTTTGAGGGCAAGCCCCAGGGAGCCAGGAGGGAGCAGGGAGGCTTTGAATCTGGCAGAGCTGGGAATCTGGCAGACCTTCTGGTGACGGGGATCCTGACAGCATCCCTGGGAAGAGCAAATACCTGCTGGGCACCCACAGGGAGATGCAGCCATCCCTGGGGTGCAGGGCACAGTGGCTGCGAGGCACAACAACAGGTTAATGGAGGGCAAGCAGAGGGGGTGCCCAGGGATTTACCACCCCTGCTCTCACAGAGCCTCTTTTTTTCTCTTGGTCAGATACCCCCATGGACTGTGGGTTTTCTGGTTTTGTCTTTTGATGCTGCACCCTTGGGATGTGTGGTGTCCCTTGTACCCCGTGCTGAGCCTCCAGTGCCATCTGCACCCACCCATCCTCCTTGGCCCACATCTTCTCCATGTGCTTCCAGGCTCAGCACTGTCATTGCAAATCCTTCTCCCATCCTCCCTGGCTCCTCAGCTGGCTGCCTACATCCTTGCCACCCTCCTGCCCTGGCATTCCCTGGCATTGTCACCTCTGGCAGCACCCTCGAGTTCTGTCCCTGGTCACATCCCTCTCTGCTGTCCCTCCCTCTCCCTCCAAGTGCTGGCAGAGACATCTCTCCTGGCCCCAGGGGCATATGCAGGAGGATGGAGCAGTGAGGTGGAGGCAGGTGGCTGCATCTGCATCAGCAGCTGAGACAGGTCTCTTGCTCCTGCTCCAAGGGTGAGCAGCACGACCATGCCCACCTCGCTGGGCACTGTGTGGCTTGGCTGGGCTGACCCATGCTTGGGTCCGTGCCAAAAAATGAAGCTGCGGATGCTGGTGGGTCATGGAGCCCTTTGTCCTTGTCTGGTACGTGTTCACTCATGGGTGGGTGCAATGCCAGCAGGGCTGGGACTGTCCAGCTGCCGGGCAGGGGCTGTCCAAGATGTGCTGAGGGATCCCTCTTCCCTGAGCATTCCCCTTTGCTCATCCCAACCCCATCTAGACAGAGCTCTGAAAGAAATGGGACCCCTGAGGAGGGACTGGGTGTCCTTGAAGACCCCCGAGGGTACATGGGTGGAGAGGACATCTGCTGCTGCTCGGGGGTGCAGCATCCCGCTGTTCCTCCTGCAGCCTTTGGAGGGATGAGTGATGCTTCATGCCCTGTGCCCCTCCTTAGGAGGGCTCCCTGGTGCCAAGGGGTCTGTGTGGCCATGGCCAAACCTTGATTCCGTACAGTAAGGAGCGGGGAACTCCCTGCAAGGTTGGAAACGTCAGGTGCTGGGGCCCAGCCAGCTACGAGCTGGAGAGCCTGGGGAGGCTTTGCTGTGTGGGGAGGGAGGCAGGTGCTGTTATGGATATCCAGGGAGATGCTGCCAAGCTCAGGACCCCAGCACCCAGCTCTGCAGAGCTCCAGCCAAGCTCCGGTGCCCGCAGACCGCAGCGCCTGGCCCGGCAGAGCTGCAGCTGGGCTGCTGGCAGGGTTTTCGGTACCCCCGGGCAAGCCAAGGGCTTTGCCCACCTGGCCCCGAAGTACGCATGGGTGCTTCAGATGCTCGGCTGCATCCCTGTGGGTGCCCCCATCCCTTGGACCTTCCCCTAGCTGATGGTGCCAAGCGAGACCCTGGGGCCAGGGCAGCATCCCTGGAGGTGTGGGGCTGAGCCTGGCTCCCTGCAGCCCCCAGAGGGGTTCAGGCTGCCGGCTCGGAGCGCCGTGGGCGGATGGGGAGCGAGGGCTGCGGGCTGTCCCCGGCACGCTCAAGGAGGTGCAGGGAGGCAAGTCGGGATCTGCAGGGAGGCATTTAGTGCCTGGCGCCGGGCCAGACCCTGGCAGGTTCACCTGCAGTTTAATTAGGGAGAGGGGAGGGGAGGGAGCGGGGCTGGGGGAGAGGCAGCGTGTCGGGACTGGCCGTCTCCACGGGCCTCGCAGGAGGTGGCAGGAGAAGCTCTCCTCTGCTTCACCAGCCAGTGGGGCTTGGATGACATGCTGCTGGTGTTACGGGGGATGGCTGCCCATGGAAGGGGCAGCTGAGCATCCCTGGGGTACTCCAGGTTGTCCCTGGACCAGGCTGTCCTGTCTGCTCCCTCAATGTCATTGTGGTGGGTGCTGGGAGGCCATCGCTGCCCGGGTGTGAAGGTGAGCGATGGAAGGAAGGCCATGACTCCAGCCTTCCCCAACCCAGCAGACCATGGAGCCTACAGCCATGCCTGAGCCAGGTCCATCACCTTCATCCTACATCAGCTTGAGAGATGGAGAAACTGCAGCATCCACGGCAGAATCAGTGTCAGCTGGGGCCTCAGGTCCTGCTAAATGGCTCCCCATCTCCTAGATGCATCTTGACAGGGGAAATTTTCCCTTGGTAAGAAAATTGCTTTGGGATCTGACTTGGGGCTGAGATGTCAGATCCATCCTCCTCACCCAGTACAATCCAAGTACATGGAAGGCTGGATGCAGGTGATGGTGTCAGGTCTCTTCCCTGCAAGATGCAATGCTTCTCCTCACACCTCCCATGGCTACAACCTCTTCTGTGGTCTCTGGAGGGATCAAACATCACCACAGAGGTCTTAGGTGGCTGGGGTAGCCAGAGAGCCTCCCTCCAAAGGGCTCGGGGCTGTCTGCTGCACATCATGCTTCACTGTGGTTCCTGGAAGCTCCCACCCTTGCTGAGCCCACGAAGCTGGTGGTTGTCGCCTGCAGCCACGTTGCTTGCTGCTTTGCTGCAATCCTCTGGGCTCTGGTGTGGCCAGGGTAGAGCAAGGAATGTAAACTGAACCTCCAAGCAGAACCACGCTGGCACAGCTGCCGCAGACCCGGCGCTGCCCTGGCCCTCTTCTCCCCATTGCTTGCAGCTCCCCATCAATGTGGGGTGAGGGAGGGAGGTGAGAAGGCAGGGAGGAGTGTTGGAGCCAGGCAGAGTGATACTGAGCGGGGAAATGACCATGGCGAGATGGGGACAAGACTCCCTGAGTGCTGGGATGGCAAGTCTTGGGGACCAGCCCGTCCTCTGCCCGAAGCCTGGGGGATGGCTGGGACAAGGACCTGTGCCTCATCCATCAGCTCAGCGTGGCTGGAGAGCAGCTGAGGAAGGAGGAGGGCTGGGGCTTGACCCCAGGGGTTTCCCAGCTGTGGAGGGCACAAAACAAACCTGGCCTCTTTACCTGTAAGGAGACGGGCTTGCTAGACGGACTGGGTGGGGTAGAGCTTCTGTCTGGTCTCCAGAAGGGATTTTAAGGAGATGCTGCATGGGAAATTGTTTGTTAGGCTGGGGAAAGGTGTGAGAAAAGGGCTAACGGACAGGCAGGGCTGAGCGGAGAGTGTCACACTGGGTGGAGGGTTTGCTGCTGCCATCCCTGCACACCAGCTGTGTCAGGAGTTGGGGACGCCGAGCGAGGTGGCAGCGACAGGTCCTTGCTCTTGGGCTGGTCCAGATTGTGGGGATGGAGAACTGATAGGGGGAGGATTTTGG